ATTTAGAGATTGAGTCTGAAAATTAATTGATCGTCAGTTTGTACACTAATGTTCCTCTTTATGAGACCATTAACATACGTCCTGATGTTCTCTATAAAGGGAAGTTGGGTCCGGCTCGCATTCTCGAATATATATATATATATATATATATATATATATGTGTGTGTGTGTGTGTGTGTGTGTGTGTGTGTGGACAATATGAATAAAGACAAAAAGAAAACTTTTCTTAGTCGACGCGTTTCGTCCTCTGAGGAACTTTATCAAGGCAAATATGAGGATTTTACTTTGTGAAAAGTATTTATATGCAAGAGAAATAATGGTGTTAGGTTTAAAAGACTTTTGGCATAAGGGAGTTTATGAATATTTATCAGCTTAGCGGAAAAGTCAGGTAAGTTGATGAACTACATCAGCTCATGGTATTTGTCTTTGTTTATGTATATATACATATACATACATATATATATATATATATATATATATATATATATATATATATATATATATATATATATATATATAAGATAAATGCACACAATACACTCCAAGCGTAACAATCATTCGCCGTAATATGTATGACCTAATTTCGTCGCAAATAAATTTATGGAGCTCAGAATGCATAGAAAGTGAACTAATTTCGGGAGACTCAACGGTAAATCGATGTGCATGTTCATCCGACATGTCTCCTGTCATCATTGAAAGCTGAGTGTCTGTATTTTTAACGTTTCTATTGAAATTGTACCCATATAAATGTATAACTATAATTGTTTTTCTCCACTTTAACCTATATATATATATATATATATATATATATATATATATATATATGTATGTATTTAGTGATTGCGCAAGTCGATACATATATATGTGTGTGTGTGAGTGGGTGTGTGTGTTTGTGTGTGCGTCTGTTTGTGTGTATTGACCTGCATACTCAAGAAATCTTGATAAAAAAAAACAATACGTTAGATTTAGCTTACTCGTTCTGTCGAGTGAAGATGTCTCAGTGGTAGAACCTCTGAATGACTCCAAATCGGTTGGGTTTCGATCCGGGCTTGAGATATTCGGTTTTCTAGTGAAACTGAGGAGCTGCGAAACAGTAATGTCTGAGAATGACTTTATATATATATGTAAATATATTACTTATCTACCATATTAGCTCAGCCAGGTGTTTCATCATATGCACCAATATTTGGTATGGCGTTGCAATAATCCTTTAATCTATATATTCTTCTTTTCATCGTTTTCCTTTTTCATCGTGCCCCGTATTGCATAAGCAACTTATATATATATATATATATATATATATATATATATATATATATATCGCTCCCCTAGGGTTCAGCACTGTTTACATTTATTTAATACTCTAACATGGAAAAGATTGATTTTGGAATTTCGTTAAAAAAACATTCTCACCAGAAACAAACGGGAATATTTCGAAAAACCGGTTTTAAAGATTGAGGATCATATTAGATGAATGGGATGGAAAGCCCGCTTTTTTATTCTTGATCGAGATGTGTCCAATATATCAGATCCTTTTGGATTTAGGAGTTTAAAAACTGCACATCTCATTGAAAGCTTACACGGCTTTGAAACTGAACTACTAATCTTTATAAATGACATCACGTTTCATAAAAATAGGAATCAGTTTCAGAGGCATTTAGATTGTATAGTTAAGGATATTAATAAACCCAACCAAATATTTGTTAAATCTGATAAAACTACTAATTTTTACAAATTTAATCCCAAAGAATACAATGCATTAATAAAAAACAATTTAGCTAAAATTATAAGAAGCTAGATATTAACAATTTTGATTGTGTTAACAAAATTAACACTGGTTCTAGAAATATTACTGATAAACTTCAAATTGGAATAGGATTGGTAAACTCTGTACTAAAAAATCACATGTCTTACTTAAAGATCCTAAACTAGACTTTCAGACACAACTTGCTACGATGATTATAAGCCCTACCAGACCGGAAATCAAAAGGATTAGTAAATTTATCCTGGATCGGGTCAACAAAAAATATCAAACGACATCTTGGATTTAAACATTGGATTGATACCACAGAACTCATTAATTGCTTTAGAGGTATTAGAAACAAAAGCAGCTTCTCATTTATCCAGTTTAATATTGTGGATTTTAGCCTTCCATCTCCAAGAATCACTTTACCCTGGTTTTGGAATTTGCAAAAGAATATTCCAACATCAACCAATGAAGAGATAAATATAATAATGAAGTGTAGAAGATCAGTTCTCATCCACAATAAAGAACAGTGGGTTAAGAACTCTGATGATTACTTTGATATTTCGATGGGATCATTAGATTCTGCTGAGTCTTCTGATCTGGTGGGTTTATTAACCCACCAGATTTCATATAACCTTACTGCCTATGAAGATGTCAATATTGATAATATAGGTTTATATAGAGATGATGGTCTCATGGTATTAAAAAATTCCACTAAAATTAAGGTAGATAAATTAAGAAAAATGATTCATAGTGAACTAAAATTTTTAAATCTTAAGCTTAAGATAACTACTAATGTTAATCAAGTAGATTTTCTTGATGTTAACTTAAATCTCGTTAATGATGTATTTAACCATATATAAAAAATAATGCTAACCCAATTTATATTCACCCCAATTCTAACCACCCTCCATCTATAATCCAACATATACCTTGGTCTGTAGAACGTAGGATTAGCAACCACTCATCGTACAAAAATGTGTTTGATAAATATAGCGGTGTTAATAATAAAGTTTTAAAAAAATAGTGGTTATAAGTACGCTGAAATTAAGTTTTAAAAATATGATGATAGCAGTCTAAAGAAAAGAAAAAGAAATCATTTAGTACACCCCTCATTTTAATCAATTAGTCAGTACTAAGTTAGGCCAGAAGTTCCTCTATTTGATTGATAAACATTTTCCTAAAAGTAACCCTCTCAGTAAAATATTTAAAAGAAACACATTAAAATTAAGTTATAGTTTCACCAATAATCTTGAGGAAATAATAAATGTACACAATAATAAAACTTTTAAACAATTTAATAATCTGAATGATAAACAAGTTCCAAGGAAATGATGATACTGGCCAATCTAATTGTAAGAATTCTAACTAACGCTCATTGCCAAACAAATGTTATCTAAATCTCTTATCTATTTTTGTACTATCTCTACAACAGAGAATCCGATGGTTGAAGAATTCCATATTGGCAGTACTAAGATTTTTTTCAAGACTAGTTGGTATAACATATCTTGTCCTTCATCAATAGTACTTACAGAAAAAATACATCACTTTCTAAATATTTTTGGATTTTTAAATATGATAATAAGACTCCTAAAGTGAAATGGACATTTTTTAAAATGGCAAGGACATGTATATCTTCATATGAAGTCTGTTTTCTGTGTTTCCATGAAAAATTGGAAATTATCAGATTCAATAAAAATTCCTTATTAAATCAAAGAAATGAACTGTAAATTGTAAACATAGTTTTCCTTTTACCTTACAACTTTGGAATTTGATTATATTTTTTTATATATTCTAGTTGTATTGCGTTGCACCATATATGGTTTAAGTTTCTATCTGTAAGCTTAATTTGGATTTAATATAATTTGTATTAATCTCCTGGTAATATTATTAAAATCTACGGATGTATTGCTATTTGGTTGGTATTTTTGACATTTTACATTGATTGGTTAGTTTTATTAACACCTTATATGGAGAATCTTTATTCAACAGTTGCATATTAATTTGCCAAATAATTCTATACGTTTAAATTATTTACTAGTTTCTTAAAAAAGCTATTTATCAACTATAATTTTTTTCATGCCGGAAATTCACAAAGCATTTAACTTGTTTAACATTTTGATAAATGACCTCTGCACACTATTTTTATTTCTTAGGAAATGGCATTGTCTGGTTTGTATAATTTATGTAACCATTTGCATCCGCTTTAGTTTATGACTGACTGCCGTTAGCTGCCAATCTACGGGTCATGATTCATTTATAAAAAAATAGATTTTTTAAATTTTTACTTCTTCGCTTAGTTTAAATTTAACGTAGTTCATATTTGATTGGTTGATCAGAGTAAAGCCCACAAACGTTATAAACTCCTTTTTTCGTAAAAAGAGGTTGTATTTTGCTTTCAAATCTAAATAAATCATTCACTCGCCAGTAATTTACAATAGCCCGATGAGAAACATTGATACGCATCGAAACACGATTGCAATTGTGTAGCGATTTTAACACGTTTTCGATGTAATATCCTGGATAATATTGCTTTCCTTTGTATTGATCCCTCTTTTAAATTAAATATTACGAACGTTGGAATTGTACTCTATTCGTTGTCATATATTTATATATATATATATATATATATATATATATATATATATATAAGCTGACAATTTTCTTCAGCTTGTCTTTGTATCTATACTATGGGTATTCTACATTTTTGTAGCCCTGATATAAATGTCTGTACATTAGGATCTTGGGTATCATGTCATTAGACATTCTCCAGACATGACCAGTCCAGCGCAAAAACAGGTAGAATTGAGATCAACGTGTTTTAATGGAGTCAGCGGTTTTCAGTCTGCTAGTCTGAATCGTTTTCAAGAATCGAGAGCAAGATCTAAAAAGTCAGACAATCTAACAGTGACCTCATCCTACAATCCCCACCCTTGCTCCATATGTAGCTTCCTTTGCAAATCATATGCTAGTCTTAAGTGCCACTTAAGATTATCGCAAAAAATTCATAACCGAATCAATTGGTTAAGTTGTCAGATTCTCATAAGTCGAAACCGACGGAGAGTCCTATATATATATATATATATATATATATATATATATATAGATTCTTATTTTCAGTTTCACATATTTTCAATTTCTTTCTCTTCCTCATCCACCCCCTTTCCTCGCCCACTCCTCTTCCTCACTCCTTTTGTCGTTGTTTTAACACTTCCAGTCATTATCACATATCAAAGTCAAAAACCGCGTGGGTTCACGTCTTATGCACTATTCCTGACATGACATCGGATCGAAGAAAATCAAAGTATAATAACAAGAAGAGGGAGGGAGGGGGGTGAAGTAGAAAGGAGAAGCGATGAAGAAAAGAAAGAGTGATGGGAGTCTGGCCGGCAACGAAGCAAAAGAAAGAAAAGTAAATGCTCAATGAGAGTGCACAAACGAAGAAGAGGAGGACGTGGAGGAAAGAGAAGAAAAAAAGAAGAAGAAGAAGAAGAGGATGATGAGGAAGAAGAAAAGGAAAAATTCGTATGCAGCGATGCAAAGAATGAAAAGAAGATGAGGAAGGAGATGATGATGATGATGATGATGATGAGGATAATGGCGAAAATGAACATGATGATGATGATAATGATAATGTAGAAGATGAATATGATGATGGAGATGATGACGATAATGATAATGATGCTGATGATAATGATGATGACGATAATGATGATGATAATGATGATAAAAGATAATTATGATGATGATGATGATGATGAAGAAGAAAAGGATGAGGAAGAGGAGGATGTAGATAAGGTTATTATTACTATTATTATTATTCGTATGATGATGATGATGATGATGATGACGACCACGAAGAAGACGGTGAATTGAATGAAATATAGACATGAGAAGACAAAGAAAAAGCCATCATCAAGGGAGACGAAGACGATGGAGTGGACGATTAACAAGGAGAAGTAAAGCAGAAGATTATGATGATGATGATGACGACGACGATGATGATGATGACGATGATGATGATGATGATAATGAAGGTGGATTGAGTGAAGATTGACATGAGATAAGAGAAAGAAGAGAAAAAGGTATTAACAAAGAAGGCAAAGAAGAAGAAGAAGAAGAAGAAGAAGAAGAAGAAGAAGAAGAAATAACGATAAGAAAAACTAACGATATTAGAACTAAAAAAGTGGAGAGGGAAGAAGAAGAAGAAGAAGAAGAAGAAGAAGAAGAAGAAGAAGAAGAAGAAATAACGATATTAAAACTAACGATATTAGAAGGCAAAAAAGTGGAGTGGAAGAAGAAGAAGAAGAAGAAGAAGAAGAAGAAGAAGAAGAAGAAGAAATAACGATATTAAAACTAACGATATTAGAAGGCAAAAAAAGTGGAGTGGACGAAGAAGAAGAAGAAGAAGAAGAACAAGAACAAGAACAAGAACAAGAAGAACAAGAAATAACGATATTAAAACTCGGAAATTTGAGATCTAGCAAAGAAATAAAAGATTTTAATCAAGAATGAAGGAGCGGAAAGTACCCAATACCGTAAACAGAAAAAAAAACATGAATTGGACAGCAGCGGAAATTGGTTTTCGTGTAACGATGACACAGATCAGAAATTCTGGTGGGTGTCGGACGTAAAGACGTTAGTGTGGAAAAGTTGACCGATCTTGATAAATGGTCAATCATTAGGGCAGGTCCAGGGAAAAACGAAACATGCGTCTCAAGTGAGGCGCTGAACAAAACGGCGTCGTATAAGAAACAAAACAAACGGAGAGCGAGACACAAAGTAAAAATGGAAAGGAAAATATAGCAAGGATTTGTTGAAGGATCCTATCCTGAACAAGAGGGGCAACATGAACGAGATCCTTCCGAAGCTTCATTGAAGCTGTCCTCAAAGCTGACGCTTTTGAGAATCCGGAAAAAATCTGAAACTTTCTGCTAAAATGCCTGTCTTTCTTTGTTATAACATATTTCCAATTAACTAGCACAACCGCTCCCCACAACACGCGCGTACACAACACGCGCGTACACACACACACACATACACACACACACACGCGAGGTGCATTGGGTAAATTGTCGCCATTTTATATTTTAATTACATGGATGCTCCTTGTTTAATTATGATTTTGTCGCCTGCACAGTATAGTACGGACAGTTGAACACCGTCTACGAGAAAAAGTGCACCATGACGCAATTTACTCAGCCAGAAAGCTCCAATACGAACATTTCAGAGTGTTTGGGTGTCAACCTGAGGACAGTGCAGACGATTCAGAAAAAGATGATGATTACAAAGTTGTTTGACGTGATCACTGGTGATAGCAACGTTATGCCTCCATTCATCTTCCCGCAGGTCGTCAGACTCAACATGGAGGCCTGTATCAAATGCCTTGAAGAGGTATTGTTGCCATCGGCTAAGATGGCCCCTATGTCTAGTAACAAGACTTTGCACCATGTCACACAATCAGGAGAACTCAGTCATGGCTGTCAGACAAATTTCTGTGGTCAGATCACCCTTTACATTGTACCACCAAAGATGAACTGAAGACACGGATTATGGCAGCATTTTCCAACTTATATAAGGAGACCGTCCAGAAGATTTGCAGGAAATTTCGAAGTCGTGTAGGTTGAAGCTAATGGCGATTTTATTGAATCAATTTACTCTTTAATATTTCAGAATATTTTTGTGTAATTTTGGTAAATATATCTGTTAAAATGAGATTTTGCTGAATTGCAAACAGATCTGCTATTGTAAATGTTTAGAAATGTTGGACGCATCATCCAAATGAAAACTCAGCCGCCAAGACAACGTACATATAATTTTTTCTATTGGAGATACAATCTTCCAGAATGATGCAAAAATGCCTTAAAATGTTTACAATAGCTAGTTTAAAATATCGTTTTTTTTTCTACCAATAGTTACGTAAAAAAAACTCTTGAGAATTTCATAATTTAGTTACCTGCCCACAAGCCTTACTCAAGCTAATCGCACTTAACGCCGCGTTCTTCACTTCACTACTAAAAAATTTAAAGTTTCAGATAAACACAAAATTTTGTCTTTGAAAATGATGAACACTACAATATTTGTCTTGAACAAAGCAACAGCCTAATGATGACATTGGGATAATGTCGAAAGTACTCGGAATAAATAATATGTATCAACATTGCGATTTTCTCTTTTGATTTAATAATGACACCAAAAAGCTTTTCTGTGTATATGAAAGGATCCAACTGAAAAGAAGGAAACAAAACTTGTCTAAATTAAAGTCTCAATATATATATATATATATATATATATATATATATATATTTATATTTATATATATGAAGTGATGACCTGCATAGACTCTTGATATTTTCATGATTTTTTATTTTATTTAGTTAACATATGAGTAACTTTTGGTGAAATTACAAACTATTTGGATAATCCTGTAGCCTTTCTCTGTGCTTGTTATTGAAAAATCTATTTTTCTTTAACTTGTCTGACTTTCAAACACACTTGACGTCTGTGGCTTCAGTGATACAATCATCTGATAAAAAAGGTACTATGTTTTATTTTTTTATAGATCTACCAAAATATGAACTGTTTATTGGATATTGATGAAAAAATTCTTAGATGTGACACAAGGCCGAAACTATGGAGTACCTAATGAGGATCGAACTCACAGTATTAAGTGATATGGTGTGTCAAGCTTGCTAAACCACGTCAAACTGCTCTACTTTGTGAATCTGATGTTTATATAAAAACTCACATTAATTATAGGATCGTAAACACTCGGTATTATAGGTTTCTCCCTATAACCTATTTATGGTCAAAATAGACGATGTACATTAAAAAGGAGATATTTTAAAGTATCCAATCAGTGGTTAACTGGGACAAGAAATGTCTTGTCAATTGTAACACCTCAAAAACAAAACTGCTCTCATTAAAATCGCAGTAGAGAACCTTTTCTGCATGACATCAGCATGGCTGCCGTTAGATTCCTGAAGTGCAAAACTCTGCACCTACACGTTTTCAACTAACGCGTAGTGGCACGACTAGATCGAATCAATAACTGAATCTATTGCAAGGAATTTTGGGTCACTATGTCCTGCCATATTTTTTCTCGACAGAGTCATCCATCTTTCACATTTACAAATCTACCATTCGTCCGTGCATTGAATACTGCTGCCATATCTGTGGTTTGGCTATTCATTTCTAGGATCTTGATAAAATCCCAAGAAGTATCTGTAATGTAATGAATCCTAACTTATCATCTCGAATTCAGTCACATTCTCACCGACGTGACGCGGCTTCCCTCTGTCTTTTTTACAAATATTTTCATAGCAACTGCTCTGAGGAGGTATCACCCTGGTACCCCGTCTACATGTATTTAAACGCGCTATTAGATTCCACCCGTTTATTTTTGGATTAGGTAAATATAACCGTCAGTTCTTTTTTCTCGCATTTCCGCCTGTGGAACACCCTCCCCATTATTTTCTTATTTCTACAATCTTCAAAAATTTTAATTTGCTTTCTCCTTTCCTCAATCCTCCCTACACTCAATCTTTTCTCTCACTATCACCCCCTAGAAACCTCTCCGTACTAGTGGTATTTTCACCTTGGTTGGGGGTGAAATTATTTTGAAAAAAAAATCTCCATTCTAAAGTCAGGATAAAACAAATGCTATTGTGATTACACGCTTTCCACTTATTCTGACGAATAACGTTATTTCAATGAGTCACAGTCGGACTAACATCCTCGTATTTGTTGGTATTACCACGTCTCAGACATTTTTCCTCTGACTATCTTTACTTGCAAAGAGTAAAAAGATGAAATCCTCGACCCACAGGCTAGCGGAACACCTAAGGCTCATAATTAGGATTGATAAAATGAAATCGGGCAGATATGGATGGGAAAAGGGTGGTCAATTGTGTCTGTGAAATTGCATATAAATATAGATATAGAACGCCAGAGCATCGGACGTCTGAAGGGATAAACGCACATGAGCAATAACAAACGACCTGATCAGTCGACCGAGCGCAGTAATAAACGCCATATGGGAGCCATTGATAAAGAATGAAAAAGAAACGATGACAGAAAAAGAGCCAAGGTTGGCAGGAAAAGTGTTCAGCAACAGCAAAAAAAAAAAAAAAAGAAATGAAAAGGAATGCGTCAGAGGTCTGTTGCAGGCAGATAATGGGAAAGAATTTAGGGATAAGGCTCCACGGATTAAAGCAATGATTCTGGAATTGAGTGGTACTAGACAAGCAAGGAACTGAAGTCAGAATAACTATGCCACCAAATTCGCGAAGGAACATTCTAAACGTCCAGGCTGTTTTTCGTAGAGAGATACTGAATCTAGAAGTCGAGCATTATCTATCTATCTATCTATCTATCTATCTATCTTAGCATTTCATTATATATGTTATAGGTGTATTTCAGACTGTTCATATCTATCTATTCCAATCTTTCATTATCTATTGATCTATCTATGTCAGTCTTTCATTATACATCATTATGTATATTTCAGACTGTCCATATCTATCTATCTATCTATCTATCTATCTATCTGTCATTATCCATTTCAATCTTTCATTATCTATCTACCTCAGTCTATTCATATCTGTCCATCTATCTATACATTTCAATCTTTCATTATCTATCTATCTATCTATCTATCTATCTATCTTCCAATCTGTCATAATCTATTTCAATCTTTCATTATCTATCTACCTCAGTCTATTCATATCTGTCCATCTATCTATACATTTCAATCTTTCATTATCTATCTATCTATCTATCTATCTATCTATCTATCTATCTATCTATCTATCTATCTTCCAATCTGTCATAATCTATTTCAATCTTTCATTATCTATCTACCTCAGTCTATTCATATCTGTCCATCTATCTATACATTTCAATCTATCTATCTATCTATCTATCTATCTATCTATCTATCTATATTAGCATTTCATTTATATCTACGGACTGTTCATATCTCTCTATTCCAATCTTTCATTATCTATCGATCTATCTATATATGTCAGTCTTTCATTATACATCATTATGTATATTTTAGACTGTTCATATCTATCTATCTATCTATCTATCTATCTATCTATCTATCTATGCCAGTCTATTCTTATCTATCTATCTATCTATCTATCTATCTATCTTCCAATCTCTCATTATCTATTTCAATCTTTCATTATCTATCTACCTCAGTCTATTCATATATGTCCATCTATCTATACATTTCAATCTTTCATTATCTATCTATCTATCTAAAGAAAAGTGGGTATCACTTAGATTTCCTAGAAAGAGGAAAAACTCTTCACAACGTTAATTCTTATCAAAGGAAAGCACGAGTCGTTACTCAAGTTTCATGCTGATGCGATCTTCAGACGGCTAGAACGCCGTGAAACTCGAGTAACAACTCGGGCATTCTTTTGATAGAAGTTAATGCCGTGAACTATATATATATATATATATATATATATATATATATATATATATATGCGTGTGTGTGTGTGTGTGTGTGTGTGTGTGTGTGTGTGTGTGTGTGTGTGTGTAATTTCAATCTTTCATTATCTCACTTAGTCTACTATATATCTAACTTAAAAATTGTATTGCCAGTTGGGAAAATGGTCATTAATGGATAGAAACTTCTACGTCATGAGAGATTTTACAGCGGTCATTAATGGGTTAAATGGAAGTCCATCAACATTTTAAGTCACTCCTTGTAACTTATCCGAGGCGGACTACAGAAACGCACTCAGTCATACCCACTTCTAACAGTCAGTGTTTTAATCAGCAAACGATTTCATTTTGAGGATGGATTATGGAAACTTGAGAAAGGTTGTTTCAAGTGTGTTGAACTTGCGGAGTGAATATATGAATAAATAACATGTATTTTGCTAGGATCATTTTCCTTTGTCGAGACGAGAATATTTCAACTCTCCGTTCTGTATGTACGTGTGTGCCTTTGTGTTTACACACACACAAAAATATATATATATATATATATATATATATATATATATATATATATATATATATGTGTGTTTTGTGTATGTATATATGTGTGCATACGCAGAAAAATATGTATGTACAGCGCATGAAATATATGTATGCATATATATATATATATATATATATATATATATATATATATATATATATATATATATATATATATAGGGTGTGTCTGCATGCATACACACACATATATATATATATGAATATAAAATATATATACATATGCAAAACATGCGAAAAGATACACACCAGTGCGCATATATATATATATATATATATATATATATATATATATATATATATATATATATATATATATATATATATATATATATATATATATACTAAAATAATATGAAAGAACAATGAGATTTATAATTCAGAGTTCTTAGCATTTACTTTTATTTTTAAAAAAAAACACAAACTTTGTATTTTAATTTTAATTTTTATGACTGAATTTGAATTGAAGTTTCAGTTTTGAAACATGGGAATTTTGGTGTTTCGATTATAATATATTTTTACAAAAACAATTATAATCTATCTATCTATCTATCTATCTATCTATCTATCTATCTCCCTTCTCTCCCTCTCTCTCTCCCCCTCTCTCTCTCTACATATATATATATATATATATATATGTATAAATGTGGACATTTAGGTCAACACCCAGCAGCGACAGTCTGTTTCATGCTTTATCGCAATCTTTAGGTCATTTGCGTTGTTTTTTGGCTTGACAGTGTACATACGCTGGTGAGAGTAGCATTTTGTGTAGGTTTATTGTATTATTACAACTGTTATTAAGTAAGCAGTAATGGCTTCATCTGAAAAGGTTTTTTTTTTTTTTAAGAAAACGGCATATGCAGATATCCTCATCTATGAAAGTATATTATTGAGTATTTATTATGAAAATAATTTCAAGATATTCTTGCTGCCACAATTAAAATAATCCATGAATTTTTTTTTTTGTAATATTTTATTTTTAGCGACGCGGTGCTATTATGAAATCTAAAACGGGTTGGACTAAATATGCACCAAAAGAAGATAATAATATTTTATGATATCAAACGCCTTAGCCCCTCACATGTTTTGTGATGTCAGAAGCTTACTCGTTGTCAATTTTGTGATGTCAACGAATGCTCGTTGTAGTGGAGTCTTTGGGATCGCAGATACTAGTAGTAACTCCTTCTAATAATACTCGCACTAGTAATACTTGTTCGATAGCAATCCGAAGAGTGATTAGTATAGAGAAATAGTATAGAGAATCACAGTCACTTAGACGCCACGCTAATTCCCATATACACCTTTCCATTACGATCACGTGGTCTACTTATTAGAAATGGAATCACCTGTGTTTGCTCACTGGTGATCTGTGTTCAAACTCCAGTGTCGGCAACGACACTTTATCCCTATACAACATAATAATAATAATAATAATAATAATAATAACAAAAGCTTTATCTAAAATATGTGTAGTCTTTCTTTGATTTTATAAAAATGGTCAGTGGAAATGTCACGAAGCCATTTCTGACCTTGGGTTTCTGGTTGGTACTCAGGAGATAATGTGTAGATCAAAGAAAATCCAAGGAAATAATAATAATAATAATAATAATAATAATAATAATAATGGCAGTTCCTGCAGACTGCAATATATCATTGAAGATCTCCGAAAAAACTATCAAAATACAAGGACCATGAAATCGAAATCACATAATTGTGGCAGGTGAGGACATCAGCAGTTCCAGTTGTAGTTGGAGCACTCAGATTAATTCCAAGATTCTAATAGACTGACGATGTTACTATGCATTTGGACATACCAATTCAAACTAACAGGGAAATAAAAGCCAACAGACATGATATTATCATAAAAGACAAGAAATTCAGGAAGTGTATGCTTATTCACATAGCAGTACCATCTGAGAGAAAGACCTCCATGAAAATTATCGAGAAATTTTACAAACAGGACATAAAGAATCTGATTAACAAGATGTGGCAAATGAAGACAGGCTGTATCAATAATAATCAGATCTCTGAGCCTCGTAAGAAAGGAATTGGACAGTTTTACTAACAGTGTCCCAGGTAACGTCAAGTTTCCTAGATAATCGCCCTACTAGGAACATCCCATATACTAGTAAATGTGCTATCAATTGACAATTCTCCTATAGAGCCTAAGGTCCATAGTTTGGGCACAGCTCTACAGGATACAAGTAGGAAACATAACACACAAACAATAGTAATAGAAGAATACTACATAGATCTGTGCCTGGTATTGAATATTGAGTTGAATTAAAAAAAAACAGAATATTAGCCATAGAAACATTGGCTGTCCCTGTGTTGAAATACAGTTTCAACATTCTTAATTGGACCATAGCTGACATTAAGCGAGTGGACGCCAAAATGAGAAACCTTCTCACCAGCCACTGCATGCATCATACCAGATCCGAAGGAGGCAGAGGATTAGTTCAACTAGAACTGTCATACAAAACTATCATTTGGGCTTCAGGGATACCTAGAAACTATAGCAGACTGGGTTATGATCTGTGTCAAAGAATACGAAAGTAGTAAGCGACTTTATTCAGAAATATAGAAAAAAACATGTTCAAAATAGAGTTTCAAATGGGTGAAGAAATGAAAGTAAAGCATAATATACTGACTGAAGCTGCAAAATACTTTAAAAAGAGAGCAAAGGCAAATGCAACCGACCGGATAATGAAACGATGTCAAGAAAAAACGGTTCACGGTCAATACTCTGCCTCTAGGTACCTAGGTATAAGCGAAAGAGATGGAATACATATCCAAATAAAGGGGAAGGCAAGAAACGAGTACCCGAGGCGTGTGCGTCTGGTAGTGAATACCGAGCTGAATTAAGAAAAACAAAAAACAAAACAAAACAAAAAAAAACAGAATATCAGCCATAAACACATTGGTTGTCCCTGTGGTGCAATACAATTTCAATATCCTTAACTGGACCATAGCTGATATTAAGAGAATGGGCGCCAAAACGAGAAAACTTCTCACTTGCCACCACATTCATCATCCCAAAGCTGATGTTGACCGTCTGTATGTGTACAGATCTCAAGGAGGCAGAGGATTAGTTCAACTAGAATTGTCTTACAAAACTGCAACCATTAGCCTTCAGAGATACCTAGAAACTATAGCAAACTGGATCATGATCTGTGTCAAAGAATACGAATGTAGTAAGAAACGGTATTCAGTAATTAAGGAAGGCCAAAAGTTAAAAAAATGGAATTTCAAGTGGGTGAAGAAATGCAAGTAAAACATAATACACATACTGCAACGGCAAAGAACCTTAAAAAGAAAACAAAAGCAAATGCAATGGACCAGATACAAACACGGTGGCAAGATAAACATCTTCACATGCTGCAATCATATTCTGCCCCTACCAAACAAGCTGATGTGGGCAAACCCCGTACCTATCAGTGGCTACGTCATGCAAGGTTAAACGCTGAAAGGTTTTATATTTACTGCACAGGACCACTGTTTGCTAACTAGAAATTGCTAAACACACATACTGAAAAATTGTGTTTCCCTAAAATGCAGATTCTGTTATAAATATCCAGAAACAATTCATCATCTTTTGACAGGTTTCACGGTATTGGCACCCACTGAATATATAATCCGGCATGACAGAGTAAACGAATGTCTCTACTGGGAAATCTGCAACTTTTTGGGAAAGGAAACAACAAGAAATTGCTATGAAAATCACCCAGACCCGTTTACAGAGATAGGACCAGTACCATTTTTATAGGACTTTACAATACTTACAGACAGAACAATCAAAACTTATCGCCTAGGCGTCGGAATCAGAGACCGCAAAAACAAAATGTGCCTTCTTATTGTCATGTATCTTTGAAGATCTTTAAAAACTATCAAAGTATAAGGACCTTGAAATCGAAATCTCAGAAATGTGGATATAAAGATTTACAGTTGTAGTTGGAATCCTCGGAATGATTGGAAAAGAGTCTGATTGACATTTTGAAGGAATTTCTGGTAGCCTCAGCCTTAAAGAAATATATAAAAAAATTGTACTCACAAGTACCGTTCACACCTTACGAAGAGCGTTATCTATGCAAAATATGTGTGATCTTGATTCTTTTTTTTAATGCCCAGTGGAAATTTCTTGATGCCATTTCAGGACTTACGTCTCTGGCTGGAACCTGGAAAGAAATGTGTATACACCAGAAATCAAACGATATATTATAATAATAATAATAATAATAATAATAATAATA